CAAAAAAGCAACTGTTCAGGGGGGAAAATGCACCCCATTTTGCGTAGCGTGTTATATAGATTAGAACGACCGACACAACTGCCAAGCGGATTGCAGTTTTTTTTTTTTTCCTGTGATCGTTTATACCTACATGCATTCGGGCGTAATGGATACGTATGCATTATGTGGGCGCATGCATTTATATCCACTTGTGTGACGCACCCTTCTCCGTATTTTGTTCTTTTCCTCTTGAATGCGTCTCTCCTTTCCATTCATAAAGATTTTAAAAACAAGCGACGAATCGCTTCGTCATCAAAATTTTTTATTTAAAAAACAAAAAAAAAAAAAAAAAAAGGGGAAAAATTAATAAAAGGGGAAATAAAAAATGTGAATTAAAAAATGAAAGTACGCTTTAAATAGCATCAAAATGGGGGAAAAAAAAGGACGAATAGAAGGAGGAAGCCTCTCTTATGACTTCATTAATTCATAAGCGCTTCCTTTTGTAAACACGTTAGTGGTGTAGGCACCTGTGTGAAGCCCCATACCCAAGGGGACGAATAACGCACACGGCTGCTACAGGTAAATGTACACATATACACGTATAGATACATATACATATATATATATACATAGACATGGACGAAGCGAAACGTAGACATGATAAAAATGACATCCAGTTTTTGAAAACGGCACAAGGGTTCGGAGCAATACACAGTTGGGGCAAAGCATTTTGCTACACAGGTATTTTTTTTTGCCATAATAGTCAAACAGATTTTAAAGATAATGGCTACATTAAAAAAAAAAAAAAGTTTATAATATTCTCGCCTCTTCCTTTCTCGTTCAAAATTTAAAACTAAAAAAAGGTCCTCCTTTTTCGGTGTGCACAATTCGATGTTCTGTCCTTTTTGTTCTGTTGTGACGCGTCTCGTGCTGCCGCATTCATTTGATATCTGCGTGTGGTGGAGCACGCGTGTGAAATGGGTAAAATAAAGCCACCATATGTGATATAAATGTGTACGTGTGTGCAAGTACAAATCGTTAAGGCGCCTTCTTCCATTGCACACAATACATTGCCCGGTACATTGCGTCCTCTGTCTGATGGTTAACACCAGTTCAGCACCTGCTACACACCAAAGGATCATTATTGTCTCCCCTAACCCGTTCAGTGTATACAAGCATTTAAAGAAACATATTCATCCGATCGAATGGGCATACATAACGCTTCTTACGGAGCGCTCTTCTCATTCCTACGCAGCAAACGCGTGTGGCAAAAGTTTATATCTTTTTTTTTTTCTCTACTTCTGCTGATTATTGTTCATGTTGTTTTTATTATGATGATTCATTTTAAATGGAGAGTTCGAAGAGATATATGGCGGCATACTGTTGGGCACAACGCGAGAGGGCATATTATTGTTACACAGGTCTCTTGCTTGGGCTGGGTTTAACAACATGCTATTTTCATTTATATTTTTTCCGTCATGCGTTCTCATGTCTTTTACGTCAATTTTGCTCGGAGGCAGCGACTGCTGAAATGAGTCGTAGGAAAAAAAGTGCTCCGCGTTGTTCAGCTTGTTCAGGTTATTTGACATCTTCCTATTTATCATGTACATGGCATTTTCGCCCAAGTTCTTGCCCATGTTACTTCCGCCGATGTTGCTTCCGGCCATGCCGCCTACCCCTCCCACCCCGTTGCTCATACTTGCGCTCATGCTCCCGCTGACACTGCCACTGACTCTACCGCCCATACTGCTATTCAAATTTTCTTTCGAGAGAAGTTCTTCGCCTTTATTCAGTTGCTGCAAATTGTGCATGTTGGGTACGTGGGAATTTAGGGGAAGGCTAATTTGGCTCTGTTTGTTTTTCTTTTCATTGTCTTCACTTAAAAACATATTTTGTTTCATATTATATAGTTGGTGCAACTTCTGCTGCGACAGGGGGATCCTTTGCTGCAGCTGCTCCATATGTTTCTTCAATTCCTGCTGCTGGTACTGAAGCTTCTGCATTTGAATTTGCTTCAACTGTTGTGCGTGTAGCTGTTGTGCGGTTATATGTTGGGGGTTCATTTTCTGTGGGCTCATTTGCTGTGAATTGATTTGCTGTGAATTCATTTGCTGTGGGCTCATTTGCTGAGGGTTCATTTTCTGTGCATGCAAGTGCTGCTTCAACTGCTGCGCCTTCAGTGGTGACGGTCCCTTCTGTGAACTCATCTGCTGCGAATGCACCTTCTGCTGCATCTGGTGAACCTGGAATTGCTGCTGGGAATGCAGTTGCTGAAGCTGCTTCTGTATTTGCTCCTGCTGGATCTTCTGAAGCAACTTCTGTTGCCTCACTTGGTCATTCTGCATTAGGTTGTCAGGAGGGCACTGATTATGCATTTCCTGAAATGCTCCTTGGGGTGTACTTGACTGATTTTCCTTCTCACTGTATGCCTTCTGAAATAATTCCTTCTGCATTTTTTGTTGTTGTAACTTCTGCTGCAGTAACTCCTGTTGTTGTTGTAGTAACTTCTGTTGAATCAGATCTTGCGAAGGGTACATATTTTTTGGAGGTATCTTCTGAATCATGTTTTTTGGCAAGTTCCCCTTTGTGCCCATGTTTGTTATATTGGGGCTGTTTACACTACTATCGCCAAATGGTTGCTTAAAACCTTTTCCTTTGATATTTGGCGAATGGAATGGAGATATATTCAGGCTCTTGTTCCCATCTGATGAGGCCACACTGCTGCTTGAGTGGCCAAAAATAGGTGCCGTCAGGTTTCCCTGGGTCATGCTCGATTGTGTCATGCTCGGTTGTGTCATGCTCGGTTGTGTCATGCTCGGTTGTGTCATGCTCGGTTGTGTCATGCTCGGTTGTGTCATGCTCGGTTGTGTCATACTTGGCTGATTCATCCCCGGATGGGTCATCCCCGACTGGCTACCGCTCGGCTGATTCGCAGCGGGATGCTCCATAGCGGGCTTCCCCGCGCCCTGCTGGGTTCCATTTGGCGAAGTACTTCCTTTCGAATTTAACTGATTCAGCACTTGGAGAATGAAGTTCATCTGGTTGACATAGTAATTGACGCTTCCTCCCTGTTTCCTACTAGGCAAGTTTGCGCTGTGGTACTTCACGGCTTGGCCATTCATGTTGTTCAAATTAATATTCTGCTGGCTCGGTTGATTTGGGTGAGTGGAGTGACTTGGCTGATTTGGCTGGCTTAACTGGTTTGGCTGATTGAATCCCTGTGAATTCGATCCTTGGGGGCTCATGGTTGCGAGGCTTTTCTGGCCTCTTTCGTTGACGCTAAAAATGTAATTGTTTTGGGGGTCATTCATGTGCATGTGGGGCTGTTTCAGGGCAGACAGGGCGCCAGCGTCGACATAACCGGCGCTACCGCTACTGATGTTGTTACCGACGCAGCTACCGATGCCACTACTAACTCCGTTGCCGATGTTGCTACTGAGGACATTAATAATGGCGCCGCCTCCGCCGCTACTACTATTCACGTAACTCGGCTGCGTTTTGTGGTTCTCGGGGATGGCGCCCTGCATGTCACTTTGGTGCTTCGCCTGCAATATTCTCTGAAACATGTGCGAATTGCCATCTGCACCGGTTTTTAAGGCACCAGAGGAGAGGTTCCTCTTTTCATCATTGCCATCGCTCTTTACACTACTCAAATTTGAACAACTCATATTTTTATTAAACGAATCATTCGAAAAATTTAAAGGTTCATTGCTTTCTAATTTGTTGTTATTTATATTTACCAAGCTGGAAAGAGAGTGTACGGGGTGCTGTATCAATGATCTTCTTCCAGTGTTTGGTGAAATGTTACTCTGGCTGTGCATTACATTGGAGGGTACAAAATTAAGGTTCCTATTTGACAAATTCGCATGGCTATAATTAGTTCCTAAATTTGATCTTCTATTGTCAGTACTTAATGGATTCACATTTTGAATGCTGTTACTAGGGTACCTTGCCATGGTAGGATAGTTATAATTTGCAATGGTATTACCTTTGTTGCTTACATCGAGGAATATTTTTTGATCAGAACTTAACATATCTTGATTGTTCCTCATTTGTTCGTGTAAAAACTTCGACTTTGCATCTGCTTCTTGCATTACTGGTTGGTTTGTTCCATACCCTACTGAGTAGTTACTTGGGGTTGCCGATATGAAGGGAAGTGCGTCATCGTTTATTCTACTTATTGATGAGGAAGGTGATGGCCCCGGTACTACAGATGACCCTATTACCCCTCCTCTTGCTTGATTTTCTTTATACATAGAGTAGATTTTCTTTTCTGAGTTTAGGGAACTGTTGTTCATTGGGATTTGCTGCATCTTCTTGCATGAACCGCTGGAAGTAACTTCTATTTGATGCGAACTGGAGTTACTGTTAGGTAGATTGTTCGTCCGCACATTCTTGGGACACACTTCTGGGGGATCGTACATTGCAGGCTTGCTGTGAGCCATCTGCGAAATTGGTGAAATTTGCGAAGTTGACGATAACTGCGAGATCTGCCCCATCTGCATGTTCCTGCCGTTGGGCGGTATGTACTTGCCGCTTTGCGAGGCGGCGTGCATGGGCGACGGGAATTTTTCCTCTTCGCCGTTTGGCCGCGAGAACAGGGGCTTCCCGCCGCTGCTGAGGGTGTTGTTGATGAGGCCGTTATTGCTGAGGGTGTTGTTGATGAGGCCGTTATTGCTGAGACCGTTATTGCTGAGACCCTTATTGCTGAGAGTGTTGTTGATGAGGCCGTTATTGCTGAAACCGTTGCTAAGTCCACCAACTCCGCTAACTCCGCTAACTCCGCTGCTGCCAGCGCTGTGCACCAGGGCGCTGTTCGAGCTGCTGTTCTTGGGGATTCTGCTCCCCTTGGAGCTATTCTTCTTCGCGCTGCTATTCCTGGAGGAGCTATGTGCGCTGCCCGCACTTGCGACGGGCATCTGTAGGTTCGTACTGATAAGAGGCGAGGTGTCCCCCTTGTTGACAAATTGAGGGTCTCCCCAATTCTGCATCTGTTGATACGAAAACGAAGAAGCATTCGATTTGATCCCTTCCGTGTTGGGTAAGCCTTTGTTCCACTTTGCAGGAGACTGGTTAAGCATGTAGTAATCCTGGACGGCATTGAAAGGAGTACCTGCTTGGTTGATAAAACACTTGTTCAAATTTTCCAGTGTCGCATTTTTACTTGGGGTGCTATCATATTTCGTGTTTACCAATTTCTGCTTCTTGTTTGAGAAGTTGGTTGTGTCATGGCTTAGAACGTGCTGTCCATTTGACACGTGAAGAGGCACCATCATGTCATTCATTGCACTGCTATGCATACTAGGCACTTGTTCATCTGGTTGGCGATTCTTACTGTCTACAGTGGCATCTCCTTCCAGGGGGGCAGCATATTCTTCGTCTTGCTCTCCTGCAGGCAAGTTACTCACAGGTAAACCATTTTTCATGGGCATCTTTTCTGGTGCATTATTGGCAAGGTAATTATTGCCATTTGGTAAATAATTTAGGATGCTATTATTTTTAAATAATTCTCGAGAAAAATTCGAAACACTTATCGACGTTTTATACTTGGTTATTTTATTCGTCTGGGCTATATTTTTTATCGGTAAAGATTTCTGTCTGTTACTTAGGAAGAATTCATTTTTGGTCAGATTCTGTATCTGTTGGTCCAAGTTGCTGGATTCGCTGGGGGGGCCACTGAACGGGTTCGTGTGTGACATGGGTGGCTTCTTCGTCTTGGCCGCGTCTTTAATCGCGTTTGTTTCGTTAAGTGTGGGAAGATTGTCACTAGCAACAATTTTTCCGTTTTCCTTGACGTTTTCTTTGTTGCACCCCTTGGTGCTTCCCCTGCCCCCCCCCTTACCACTGCCTTTCCCGCTGCTCTTCGCGCTGCTCTTTCCACCGCTCTTTCGATTTCTCTTCCCATTGTTCGTCCCATTGTTGCTAACATTGCCACAGTTTGGATCGCCGTAAATACCTGTCTCACTGGGGGGCGCGATACTCTTTGCCGCTTCATTTTTGAGTTCATCCTCCTTTACCTTTTGGTACAAGGGCATCTCGTTAAAAACTGCAGGATTAACCGCGTGGTCACTTGCATTTTGGCACATTTGCTGGTTCGTTCTGATGTAGTCGTTTTCCCTTCCTGGTTCGTTAATTCTCACTTGGCCATCAAGCGGTGAATCAACATTCGCGTTGTCCATGCTGCCCTTAATATGTATAATGCTGTGGCGGTTGTCTCTATCCAGCTCTGCTTTCCTCACCCCTTTGGGTGTCACGTTCGCATCGTCGTACACACCACTGCGTAGAAGTGCATTATGATTGTCATCATAATTGTTAAAGTTGAACGCATTGCTTGTATCCTCCATTTTTATAGGCACGGGAATAGCACCCGCCACCCCTGCACCGTTGCTATCCTTTTCGTTTCCTCCATCGTGGAACACTTTTCCATTCTTATTAAGGAACCAGGCATTATGCTCTGGAAGGGGGTCTGCCATTGGGTCAGTCCTCTCCTGCATCTGTTTGTTCATCGGTGGGCCACTCTCATTGTCATTTGCATCATCACTCACATGGTCATTCTCTCTTTTCACTTTAACATTTGTTCCACTTCTCCCGTTGAGTAATCCTTCCCTGTTGAACAGGAACTTTTCCTCCTTCTTCCCTTCGTACGTCTCGGCGAAGCATTTCTCCATCTTAACGACATCCTGATATTCTTGTAAATTATCATTGATAAATTTCGTGTACGCTTTTAACCTCGTCTCGGAAAGCAGACTATCCACCGCCTTACCATTTAGAGTAGGCTGATAAGAATTGTTCACTGGAAAATTCTTTAACTTATCTAGAATGTAGTCGGCTAGCAGAATTTGTGAAACTAAGTTTTTGCACTGGAATCTTTTCCTAACCTTTTTAATGTTAATTTTTTTCTTGTCATCCACGTAGGGAACATAGTTGAGTATCTTCTGTGCAAAATCTTTAACGGTGTTGTAAGATTCATTCGGAGAGTAAATAAAAAATTCGTTCATCTTGTAAATTTGGCTACTTTCTGATAAGTTATTTAATTTTTTTATACTTTTATTCTTTCTCCTTTTATCATATTCGATTATTTTTTTAATCAATTTTACGAACTCTTTATCTATTTTCTTTGCACAGAAGGTATTATTCATCATGGGTTCATTCTTTGATACTTCATAGCTAGTTTCGTTGTTTAGTGAGTCCAACATATTGTCATAGTACCCTACAACCGGTTTTATTTTATTTAAAAAATTCTGAATCATTTTATGAAACTTTTTATTCTTAACGAGACAATCATTTCTTAGTAAAGCTAAAAATTCGTTTACGCTTTTTTTATTGCTACAAATGGAGTTCAGCGATTTTTTTAGGCTGGCAAAATTGACCGATTCGTTTTCTTCTCCCTCTATTTGTTTGTCATTGCTTGTTGTGAATGTCCCCACGTTTGAAGTCACCGAGTGGTTGCCTAAGTTTGATGTGCACATATGATTGCTCATGTCCACGTCGTGAAGAAATAACTCGTCTTCTTCATTGCATGGCATTAGTTCCTTTCCCTCTTCAATCGGTTCGTTTCTCCCTTTGGGAAGTGCAGAGTTGTTCTTTGTATTATTGTCACACTCCTCAATTTTACCTCCACCCTTTTCTGTTTCCCAAAATGAGCATTCACTTTTCCTTTGGCTCTCTACCCATGGAACATCTTCGTTGCGCTGCAAGAAGTTTGAATCGTGAATTTGTGTTATTTCCCCCGTTTTTTCCTTCCCTTCCATTCGCTCCTTCTGTTCTTCCTGCATATTTCTGCTTACCCCTGGGTTACGCTCCTGTCTTTCCAACATTTGTTCATTCTGAGTTTCTACTTCGGAGTGCTCATATGATGGCCCCCCATTTTGAACTCCCCCTTCTTCCATTGCGCTATCCCCACTTGGGTCATACTCGCGCCCCTCATCCTGCTTATCCCCTCCGAAGGGGCGCTTCCTCTTTACTGTAATATTTTTCAAATGGTCCGATTTGATGGAAGACAGTTCGTCCTGCTTCAGTGTCGTAGAATCATCCACGTCACTGGAGCTGAAGAAGCTGTCCTTCCCACAGTCGGTATCTTCATCAGAAGTTTCGTCGGAGTTCCTAGAAATGTGAGATAATAAATTGTTAAAAAGACGATCCTTCTTCAAATTAGAGCAAAAATTTGTGTTTCTAAACAGAAAGGTGTTGCCATTTGATTCCTCCTCCAACTCGTTCATCCTGGAAAGAGTGTTCTCTTCGGTGGTGCAGCTGTTGCTCGGTTTGCTGCTCAGATTATCTTTGTCGTTTAGAAGATGGGCGCTTCCTTTTGACAGCTGCTGCAATATTCCATTTAACAGTTCGCTTTTCCTCGGTTTATCGAAGAGGATAGATTCCTCCCCATTGGAATTCTTCCCCTCTGATTCTTCCTCATCACGGTTGGGTTGGTCATTTTTGGCACCCTTGCTTTCGTGGGGATTTCCACCTGCGTTTTGTTTTTCCTCCATTTGGCACTCGTCGGTTAATGGTCTGCCTGGGTCGCTTCCCCTGCAGCCGCTCCCCATGCCGTCACTGCCCCAGCCACCACTACTGGCCGCCTTCCTCCGCTGCCTGTGCATCTCAATCTTTTCCCTCATATATTTGTTAAACGAGCCTATCAAGCTGTTCGCACTTCGGGGGGGAAATATGGACAAGAACTTTAACCGTTTCGAACCCTTCTTTAACTTTTTTTTGTTATTTAAATAATTTTCCCCATGCAGGCTAGTCGACTTGACATCCGCGTAGCTCTTGTCCCGGAAAAGAGAAAAGAACTTGTCCTTACACTCCTCCGCCGTTCTCCTGATTTCGTAAACGTGATTAATTTTGTTGTACGAGGCGAGCGCCAGGGATATGATGTTCCAGTTTATGGAGTAAATGTAGTTGGCACTTAGGGGCACTTCGCCCAGTGGCGCCATTGTCTTTTCTGCACACCTCGCGTTGTTATTTCCCTCATGGGCAGTGAGAACTTCCTCGTTCGGGGAGTTCCCTTGGGTTTTTCGCGAATGATGCACTTGATCCCCTCCCCCACAGCTGCTGTTATTGCTGTTATTTCTGCTTTCGCTGCTATTGATTCTATTGTTATTATTTCCTTTTCCATTTAGCACTTGGGAGGGGGTAGTTCCATCCTGTTCTGCAGTAGTATCATCTCCATTTTGCGCATCTCCTAGATGCATCACTTTACTGGTGACCGCTTCAGTGGGGGCCACTTCAATGGAGGCCTGTTCCAAATGATTCTTGGCAGGGGGACAGTCACCAATCCCCTCAAAAGGGGGTTGTTCCTCACCGTTATATCCCCTGGCCTGGGTCGAGTCGACATTCACATAATTCATATACGTCTTTGTAAGGATGAGAAGAAAATTTACTTCGTCGCTGGTCCACTCTTCTTTCGTGTCAGCCCACGTTTTTAAATTTTGTTCTTCCTGTTCCTCCGTGAAATTGGATCCTTCCTTGGTTTCTCTCACTCGAGAATGATGTCCCTCCTCAGAAAGATGATTGTTCTTAAGGCCCCCATCATCTTTTATCCCTTTTTTTTTAACTCCCACCTTTCCGTAGTCATCCTTTTTGGAAAAATCAAAATGCTGGTCATTCTCCTCTGCGCGATTGACTTCATTTAAGGAGGAGGCGTTTTCTACTTCCGCATTTGTTAGAGGCTGCTCATTTGTTTTACACTTTTCGTTCTCTAGTACGGTCTCCACTGTCTTATCATTTTCCGCTTTGTTCAACTTTCGCTTTGGTGTCCTTTTCTTGGCTGAGGCAACATCTGAGAAGTCTCTTTTCCGTTTTCTCTTTTCCTTCATCATTTGTTTTTTTAAAATATATGGAGAGTTTTTCAAATAAAACAGATACAGAAAAAAGGTGAATTCGTCATACTCTGACATGTTCACTAGCGGGAGCCGAATATCGTTATTTGAGTTATTAATATATTCTAATTCGAATGGGTAGGTTCTGCCCCCACATAACTCCATATTATTCATATACAGGTTGACATTTTTCTGTTTGATCTGGTTTAGAAATTCGCTCCTGTTTTGTCCTAGTGTGGCACTACTACCTGTTCCTTTACTGATTATCCTGTCGGAAGCGGAATATGGAATGACGAGGAGCTCGTTGACGTCTACACCATTCAGGGGAGTGGTGGCCATGGTTAACATATTGCTATTAATATGCCTCATCTCATCGTAATAATCCAGGTGGTTCATATGGTCAGCGTATTCGTTTAGCCTTGTTACATCATCGAAGTCGTCTCCATCGTCCACGTGTTGATACTCGTGATGGTTCCTGGCATACTCCCTGTAGACCTCCTCATCGTATTCTTCCATTTCGTTCTTGCTTTCCTTTTTTACAATTTCTAGCTTGATCTTTGTGTTTTGCTTCGCGGGATTGTTCCCTTTGGTCTCTTCGTCCCCAAGCTTTGCTGGCTCATTCATTGATTTGGCCCCTTCCACCTCCAGCACCTCTCCCTCATCGGCAACGTCACTGCCATGGTTGCTATCACTCCTTTTTTTTTCTCTCTTTTTTTTCTCATGTTTGGTGTATCCCATTTCGTCACTAGCCTCGTTTTGCCGTAACATCAGTTTGGCCTTTCCTCCAAACGGGACCGTCGACCCCTGTTCATCATCGGAGGAGTACGTAGCTTGGTCATCATTAATTAAATTTTCATTATTATAAAAAATATTTTCATTCACTTCGATTAGAGAAATGCTCATGAAGAGAAGACAGTAAATATACAGGTGATTACTCAAGTCAAGGTAGTCTGTACTACAAGAATAGTAGTCCACATAATCGTCATTATAATGGTATGCACTCCGGTAGGTGTATTCTTCCTCCATCCTAAAATTTTCACAAAAGTCAACCCCTCTCCTGCTATGGTGCTCGTGCTTGCTTAGCAACTCCCTGCTTACATTTTCCTCGAAAAGTATAAGACGCTGTTCGTAATTTTGGTACTCCTCTATGGTTCTTTCATCCACCTGGCTGTTGCTCGCGAGTGTCTGTTGTTTATTCGCGTCAATTGTTGGGGAGGCACTCTGCGAGTTTTTCCCACTTGGGGGGGGTTCACACTGCTCATCATTTGGGTTGTCTTTACGACTGGCGTAATTGGGGGATTCTCCTGCGTGGATATTTCCTGCGTCTATATTTCCTGCGTCGATATTTCCTTTGTCGATGTTTCTTCTTCCGCTTGCCTCACTTTTCTTCATAAAATTGAACGAAAACATGCTGCGTGCCATGCTTAGAATGCCACTGGGGCTGGAGTCATTCGGGGGGCTGTCACATTTGTCACTCTGTTCACCGTCCTCCGCGGCATGACTATCCAACTGCTCATCATTGGCCGAAGCGAAGGGGTTCGCTTCAACGGGAGTGAAAAGATTATTTCCTTCCATTTTAAAATTCTTCCTAACGGACTTAAAAAAATCCCTCTTGAGCAAATTTTTATTTTTCACCTTATGGTCCACGTCCACGGGGACCAAGTCAGGCCTCACCTCGTTTAGCACAAAAAACCAAAATATCTTAATGTCATTCGATATCTGCGAAGAAATAAAATATTTGTCATTTTTTTTTCTGTCCTCAAAGTGATTATTCACTTGATAACTAAATCTTTTCGACACATTTTTCTTCCACCTTTTTTCTTCATAATAATCTATACTCATCCACATCATTTCTCTAAGCATAAAATTTTGGTGGGTCTGGAAACTGTTGACTGGCTCGGTTGGTTTGTACACTCTTCCATTTTTTACAATTTTATAGGCATCTTCTGCGATTAGAAGGTTAAGTGAATATTTATCATTTTTTTCATTAGCTCCGTTTTTTTTTCCTGTTTTGTTTCCTTTTTTTCGCTTAACCGATTCTTTCCTTTCGTTGTTCAACAGGAAGGAGTCGTTATTTACCGATGCACTGTCATCCTTCCCCGCGGCGGATTGGTTCGGCGGCCGGCCGCCTGCGACGTCACCTTTGTTTTTGCTTCTGCTCCTCCCCTTTTCGCTCCTCCTCTTCTTAGAGTTCGCATCGGCGTTGGACATTCCATTTGAGGTTCCGTTGGACGTTCCGTTTGAGGCTTCATTGGACGTTCCGTTTGAGGCTTCATTGGACGCTCCGTTTGAGGCTGCATTGGACGCTCCGTTTGAGGCTGCATTGGACGTTCCATTTGAGGCTTCATTGGACGTTCCATTTGAGGCTCCGTTGGAGGATCCTTTGGCCGCACCGTTGGACACTCCCTTCACGCCCTCATTCGAATCGGCTTTGCCGCTCCCGCTTCCTGTACCGCCTCCAGCATCGCTCCCACTATCCTTCTCACTGTTGGTATTATTCCCGTTGGTGCCGCTATCCTTCTTCCCGCTCCCTTTCGTCTCGTCGTTCTTCTCACCTTTATCATCGGTGTGACTCTTCTTGTTGTTCTTTTCGTCATCGTTGTCGTCTCCGTTGCCGCTGCTTCGGCCGCCTTGGCCGCCATCACCGCGTTTGTTGCTTTGGCCGCCGTCGCCACGTTTGCTGCTTTGGCCGCCGTCATCACGTTTTCTACTTTGATTGCTATCACCGCGTTTGCGGCTTCTCTCGCCTTTCCCATTATCGTCTGTTCTCCCCTTGTTACTACTTCCCCCTGGGCATTCTCTCATCGCGGAATTACCCACGTCCCCGCAGTCAATTCTGCTGCAGTTGGCCCCCCTTAGTTCCACACGTTGCATTTTCACGTGCACATATTTGGCGGGAAAAATATCATAACATCTGAGTAAGAAAAGGGATACCTTCATTTTGTTTTTGATAAAATTAAAGCGACGCTTACGCTCAAGGAGGGGTTCCGATATGGGCAGGAGTTCCTTGGCCCTCGACACGGTTATATCGACGAGTTTTTCCGTGTCACTCGCTCGTTTCGCAGCTTCGTTCTCCCGTTTAGTTGCCTCATTAGCCCTTTTCGCTGCCCCGCTTATGCTTTGCTGAGGTAACCTCAGCACATTCGCTAACCGTCTCTCGGCCATTACGGATAGTACTTTCCCCCTTTGACGTTTGAATTTGTCTTTCGAAACTTCCCTCCCTGTGTGTTTTCCCATCATGAGCACATTTGGGCGAAATTTCATTTTCTGATTTCGCGAAAGGGATGAATATTTTTTTTTGCAAATTTGTTTTGCACTTAACCTGATGTTGCTGATAAATGCGCGTCCAAAATTTCTAGTGCAATTTCTTCTTTTTTTTAAAATATGGTGAGCACGCTTTCCTGAGTTTTTAAAACGTTTTCTATTCAAAGATGGGGATAGAATTGAGAGGAAAAATAAAGAATCAATTTTATCGGATGTGGTGTAGGAAGAGAAAAGTGAGGGCTTGCTCCAAAATGGGGGAAGAAAAAATTTGTAACGTGTTACATGACACTCTTCTGCCACCTGTGGCAAAGTTAAAAATAGCTTGAGTAACATTGTTGTACGGAATTTTAATCCGTCCGGGTAGTTAAATGTTGAGTTTTTGCTAACCCCTGGAATATATGCCCTCTTTCTATCATACTCTGATGCGACTCTTGTCTTAAAACATAAGTCGAATGTGAGATAAAAATGATGTGCCTTTAATTTTTTAACAATTATTTTTAAAACATTAAAAGGGGTAATCAAAAAGGTTTCACCCCAATCACACGGCTGTTTCACAAGAACTGCCCAATGGCTAACGGGCTTGTAAAAATCGCTTACCATTTCGGTAAAGCGAAGGGGGATCGGCAGCATGAGGTATATCTTTAACATTTTTTGCACCACACGCTGGATAGAAATAGAGGAGTCCCCTCTTGTATCCTCTACGGCGAAGACGCCTTCACTAAAATGGTTGAACGGGCTATACGTAACAACCTCACGTTGTTCTTCGAATTCGTCAGATGATTCACTAATATAGTCTTCATTTTTTCCATTTACCTCTACTTTGAGGCACTCTCCATTTCTGAGGTAGGAATAAACCCCATTTGGGTATATGGCACTACCCTTGTTGAAAGCATTAAACCAGGTTTGCTCTTGAAATATACGTTTTTTATTATTCTTTTTAAATATATTCCTTTTTGTGTATGTTCCCTTTCTGCTTATCAGAAGGGGAGTGACCACTTGGATTCGTCCCCTTCCAACTACGAGGCTTCCGCTTGTTAGATTGGCTGCGTATTTATCCCCATCATTACTTCGCCTACTAGTGCAGGAGTTGTTTCCTCCACCTCTTTTACGACATTTACTCGTGTACACACGGGTAACACAACCAAGGTAACGTATTCTTCTTCGTTTTGCGTCTGGCCAGTTTGGAGCGTCCACCTTTCTCGCTGACATAAAAGCTGACTTCTCAATGCGGCCAAATTTATCTATATAGAACTTGCTTGAAACAAAATAGGCGTGGTAATCATTTTTTTTTCCCACTTCTGTGGGTTTATTATTTTCAATTCGGTGGAAGTCACTCATGTGTCCCCTTCCCGCCGATCGCTCTAATTTGCCAGCATAAACCTGTTTGTCTTTTTTTTTTTCTTCTTCCTCTTCAGTCTGTATGGCATGCCTATATATGGCTTTACATTTTCCGTTTGCTTTATTTAATATGTAGAGTCTGCACTTCTTGGCCACATAAGCCGAGCACTCGCAGAATAGCAAAAAACACAGTTTCCTCAAATTGGTTATATACATATAAACGGAGAAGTATATTTTCAAGCAGAGGCAGATCGTTATGCGGTGCACCATTTGCAGGTCGGGAGGTCGCGTCCGAGAGACGTTATCTCTATAATTTGTGCGATCTGCACTATCTGTGTGTTTTGCCAAGTTGGCAAACCGCTTGACCAAATTTAAGCTCCTATCTGAATGAGCCATTATTACACAGGTGCTTCTTTCCCGGGACACATACCCCCTAGGGGCCCTTTTAACTTCATCAACAGGGTAAGTACCATGCTGCAAAACGCACCTGCTATCGTCATTAGTCCTGCAATGTTTATATCTATTAACAACATGTTCATTAAAATTGATTATGTCTTTCGCATTATTCATGGTGTATGGATATGTGTTCGTTCTATCTTTCCTAATTAAGGCATCCGCTGATTCTCTTTTAACTTGGTGTGCTTCTTGTTTTTGTTTGATTGAACATTTTTTTCGCTTTTTGATTTTTTCCTATTCCTTTTTCCTATTCCCTATTTCCTATTCCCTTTTTTATTTGTTAACTTTGTTCAAAGGGTTATTTTCCCTATTCGCATATTCCTCGCTTTTTTTTTTTTTCTTTTTTGTTAATTTTTTTTCTTTACTTAATTTTTTATACCTTTTGATGGCATAATTTTTGGCATTCTTTAAAACTTAAGTAATTTCTGTTTTTTGGATCAGCATTTATGCGTACGTAGGGGTTAAGATGGCAGGCATAAGAAAGGCATAAACTGCGCTGCATCCCATCATACGCTATATCATACGCTGCATCATACGTTGCCTCATACGAGTATGTAAACTTGTACTGATTACATATGGGGGTAGGCGTTTGCATAAATAGGTATCATGCGTACATATGTATATGGCATTATATAATATATGTATTATATATGCTATATTCATATGCTGCGTACACGTATACATATGCGCGTATGTATATGTGCTCACTTTTGGAATAAAAATTAAGAAAAATTACATTCATTACATTCATACATTCTCACGCATCATATAGTTCCTTTATGAGGTAAAGAATATAATGCAAAAATACTCACAAAAGGCGTAATTATTTAAAAAAAAAAAAAGTGTTAAAAAAAAAAAAGGGAAGGAATTTTGGGCAAGGAAAAGAAGGGTTAAGAAGAAAGGGCTATAAAAAAAGGGCTACGAAAAAAAAAAAATAAAATAATGGTGAAAAAAAAAGTATTTCAAAAAAGTGGTGAAATGTTAAAAAAAATTAAAAGGAACAGATTTAAATACTTAAAGTCGATGTTTTAGCATTTCCATGTTGCCTTAAAAATGCTTTGAAGTCACAAATTAAGCATCACTGCTATGTTTTTAAGAATGTAAAGAGGGCTAATGGTTATGTAAGAGTAGGATTAGATTTTCTGCAAATGGTGTTTGTCTACGCGTGTAAATGTTTGGCACACTTAAACCGTGTTTAGACTCCACACCCTTTTTCTCTTTGTGCGGTTATTATGCGCTCATTATGTGCTTACTTTGTGCTTACTTTGTTCTTTGTGCTTTTTGCGACGTTTGGTCACTTTTTTTTTTACCTGTTTGTGGTTCAGTTTTGCGGTTCACTTTCGCCGCTCAGATTTTCGGCTCAGTTCTGCCGCTGAGATCTGCCGTTCAATGTTGCCTCTCCCCCCCGCCTTCTCCAAAACCACTATTTCTACCATCGATGCCTACACCGCAAAAAGTTACAACCTGCGTTGCATTAGTAATAATGTAACGCATTTGTTCTCTTCTTCCAAGAGCTGCATAAAATGTTACACGCGTTCTCTGGGAAGTAGTTCCACGGGTAATGTTATACGTGGTAGGCCATGTACAAACAGGATGATTCCAAAAGGAACGGGGCGAGGTACCTGTGTCATATGTATACATCACTCCACAAATTACGTGGTTTCACCTATTCGCTCGTTTTTCTGCCTTCCTTTCCCTTTGCAGCAGTTTTACATTTGATCAAAGGAGAAGTTTAAAAATGCTGAGCACTGTCCGCTATTGTTGTGCGAGCTGCCCAGCGCACCATTCCCAGTGCGTATTGTTTAAACCGCATTATACTTTGCCTTTTCTCGTTCGTCCCACGGCAAAAGTACACTTGCATTGTTCCTACTGTAGTAGCTTAATTGTCACTGTAAAAAAAAAAAAAAAAAAAAAGAATACAACGGATTGCACACTATTTTGCTGTTTGTTAAAAATTATTGCAAACATGTGTTTTCCTATGCGATGATAAGAAAAAAAAAAAAATGCTTCCAACTGCTAACGTTGCAAGGAGAAATTAACTGTTTGCATTTCCGATGTGGCAGATACGTACACGCTATTTGCATTTTTCGCATAAGACTTTAAGCGCTCTATGTTTAGTGGTGACTCGTCAGTCTCACCCGTAACGTTCACCTTTATCAAGTGCCCTAAGCGCGTTAAATTGACACGTGTATCTCTGTACGCTTGTTTAAAGTTACCTTTTTTTTTATCCCCTCGATGTGCAGACGGGAATGTGTCAGTCCCAATTTTACTTTTTGGTCTTTTAAAAAAATTGCAAAACGTGTAGACAAGCAATTTTGTGTGGAAATAAAAACAAAAAAAGAACATGCTTTAAATTCTTCCGTCCACGTAGGCTTAACTATTGTGTGCCCAAAATCATCGATGACAACGTAGTAAAATATATGAGTTCGTTTATGTTCAAAAAAAATAGGGCATTGTATGCTTGCATTAATTCTTGCGTGCAGTCATGTGTGGCGTCAGCTTCGGGTTATTTATCGCTCCTTTTTGCTATTTTTCTTGTACCATTTTTTCTCCCCAAGGGAAAGAAAAAAAAACAAAAAAAAAAAAAACAGGCGTGGCAAGGATTCGGCTTATTTCTTCACGTGTACCTATACATTCATAGCATATTAGGTGCAATTTTTTTTTTTTCGCGAAATGTAATGTGCAGTAGTGGAACATTTTGGCTAGTTGCGATATTACATTCCTCAAAGGTGGAAAAAGCGAAAAGGGAAAAAAAGGACACGCGCAAAAAAAAAAAAAGAAAAATTGTATAACGAAAAAATGCAAAACGAAAACGCGCAAATGCGTTAGAGTGTAGGAGCGAAATACAAAACCATCGACTAAATCTCCCCCACAAACGAGGACTGAGCCACGCCCCCTTCGCTTTAATGTGTAAAAGAAAAGTATCAAATGTTAGGCAGTTCCTCAATTACACACTCGTGAAAGACAATATTTACAAAATTTTATATGCACAGATAAAGCCTCAGATAATACTTTTAAAAAACGCAAAAGCGCATAAAAAAGGGCTCCATGCAGGTTGACATGACAGTTGTTCCTGCTATGGGTGTAAAAACAGGGGGGACGTATAATCCTGCATAAATCGTGGCACACTTGCCTGATTATCCATAGTTGGTATTTTTTTAAATACATTTTTCCTATTGCTACAATTTTTCTTGCCAAATTGAAGGCGAACTTTATTGATTGTTAACAGTCAAGAAACAAAAAAGGGATAACACTTCTACTTAACTGTTAGTGCATTTCTCCTCAACAATGGTGTTTTGCAGCAAAAGGACCATTTTAGAAAAGTGAAAAATGGAAGGGGCGTGTGTAAATATTTCATTACCTCGCGTACATCAATTCTCCACCAAACAAAATACGCATGAGAAAAGGTATGCGCAACATGTTGCGGCTTTTTTAATCATATGCTACACGGTACATATTTATATAATTAACTCATTTGACATTTTCCTCATGTATAAAAATTGATCCCATAAGGTTCATGCAAAATGGAGATATATGTACTGTATGCTTTAAGGGTGTTTTTTTTTTTCTCTCTTCAGAATTTTTTCCCTTCACGTTATTACACTCGGGGGGAAAAAATCAATGAATAAAACACAACAGGATTGTTATTTATCTTTTACACACTTTCGTAGGACTGACAACTTTAAAAATGCTTATCCGTTTTTTTTTTTTTTTTGTTCATCCGTGGTAAGAACTTTTATATACAACGTGTGCCAATAAAAAACAAAAAAAAAGGGAAATCCTTCCTTGCCCTGTGACGTTACATTTATGTAAGATGATCCCCATAAAGCATGTACACCACACATGGGAATCCTCCAAAATTGCAGTTTGCAGCATTTCACATTTATTTTTAAAAATGCATAAAATAGCCGTGCACATAATTATACCACCCAATTGGCCCCTTTAAAGAAAAAGCATCTCTGCTGTTCCTTTTTTGTATCCCAAATGTGAGATTGTTCCCTTGTGAAAAACTTTCGAATTGCTAAAAACGTTATTTGGAAACTCCTTGACGAAGGAATATTTTTAAGCTTGGCATGAATTTGCCTTAACTTTATCACCCTGAATTTTATCAACATATATTTAACGAATGACCCAGCGTCGGAGAAAAAAAACTGGAATTTAATTTAAGTGGCTTTACAAGTACGTCAATTTAAGCGGAAAAGGCGTAGCACGCGATTGTGCAGCATCGAATAAGCATCTGTACACCACAGGGAAGGATACCAAGCGCGGACGCAATAAATGCGCCAAACGCAATAAACAGAAAAAACATCCACGTTACTGACTCAGGCCAACTGAACGAAAACTATTTGCCTCTTATGGGCTCTCAAAATTTTCCCATCCTCCAAGAAGCAACCATTTTTCTTCCGAATTGATGCTCTTTCCGATCGTTCCACTTATTTTTTAAAAGTTTTTTTTTTCCGTATTTTTAAATGTTCGTAATATATGCTATCATTTTTTTTTTATTTTTTTTTCTATTGTTTTATTTTTGCTTGTTCGCATATGCCATTTCTTTCCTCATATTTATTTAAGTTGAATAATTTAAAATCATTCAGTTGAGTTGTGAGATATCGCATTGGAACAGCATCATTTTCCCGTACCTATATGCGTGAAACATTTTTAATATTGTGTAAAAGGTTAGAAATTTTCTCCGTTGTTTTTTTTTTTTTTTTTTTGGGGTCATTTGGTTAAATTTTTTCAAAATGGGTGTTGAAGACATATCCGAGGAGGATCTGGAAAAGGCGACAAGGTAATATAAAAAATGAGAATAGGAACGACATTCTTCTGTTCACACCAAATGAAAGGATTACATCTGTTCTTGTTTTGTCTCTACGTGGCAGTTGTTTTTTTTTTTTTTTTTCCCACATAGGTGCACAAAACTGCAACAGTGTTTTCGTTTACTTCTTTACACTTTTGGAGAAATAAAATTCCCCCCTACCCCCGCCTTCTGCAGATCCTTCGTCTCGATAGAATCGGCTACCCAAATAAGCAGAAGATACGTCCGAAAAAAGCTAGAAGAGATTTTTAACTTGGAGGAAAATTCTCTGTACGAAAGGAAAAAAGAGATTAACGATATTGTTGCCAAGGTATTGACAAACCTCCTGGAAGAGGAAAATAGGAAAAAAAATGAAGAGTTGCGGGCTAAGGATACAGACGCGCACAGCGTAGAAACGAATGACAATGTGGATCAGAATGGGGAAAACTGCAGTTTGAGGAAAAGGCGAAATAGCCAGGTAAGTCTGAACAGGCACCTCGAACACTGCTTACACATGGCATTTTTAGTGAGCCTGAATATCACATCATCTGTGTGCACCTCCGTCACCGCATTATATCTCGCTCATTGTGTACCATTTAAACGAATAAAAAAATGCCTACCAATTTTTGAAACCACGAACACTTTTTGTAGAACAAGACCAAGGGAGAGATTGTTAAAAAGGAAAACTTGAATGATGATAAATCGTCTAGTTCGCAGTCAGATAGCAATGATAGAAATTCATCCAAAAAGAGGAAAAAAAATCGCGAGCCCCTTTCTGCTAGGAAAAAACAAGGTACGGAATTGGCACCAATTGATTTCAGCGCAATGTTCTTAAATGTTAAACGAAAGTTTCCCCCTCCTAGCTTCCTGCCAGCTTGGGAAAGACTCACTTTTGTTTTGCTTCAAACTCGTAATGCGATTTCGAGAGCACCATATATACATATATGTATACGTACATGTGCACTCCCTTGGGCTGGTTTGGCCCCCTTCCCTTCCCCCTTGCAACCAGCCAATGTGATGACCAAGGATTACTTCCTAGACAATGCCGAGTCTCTACTTTGCAACATATCGGATAACATAAAATTAAAACTGGAGCCACGAATTTTCAGCACGGGAAGTTGCGGATGGTAGGAAAATTTATTTCGATTCATATCAATTTGTTGCAATTTATTTATATTGCTATTTTTTTTTTTTCCTTTGCACCCACATGGCGCGATTTTAAAATTACCCCCCTTTTGCCAGGCACATGATGGACAAGGTGTATCTGCTAGTTGGGGATCACAACGTCCTTTGCCAACTTTGCATTAACTGTTCAGGTAGATCGACACATGAGAGTGACAAAAGGGCACACCATGCCATTTCCCTCATAGTACATAACGGAACTGTAAAAAATTGTGACAAAGCGTGATAAAGCGTCATTTAACATATGCTGAAACTTTTTAATTTTTCATTTTTTCGTTTTTATTTTTGCGCTCAGTTATCGGCAGCAAGCAGTGGAACTAAATGGACAATATTTAAAGGAATGTCATGCGTGCAAGCGGACCCAGCATCAAACTGGCCGTTGTTAAAGTGGCCGCGAATTTGGCTCCGTATTGGTCACTTGTTGTCCGCGAATTGTTTCGAATTGATGTGAAAATCGAAGTCGCTACAAAAAGGCGAGACCCTTTACACGAAAATGACGTAATTAAGTGCCGTTTAATTGTTTAAGTTGTTCCTGTAAAATGTTAATTTTTTCCCCCCACAGAATTGCTATTATTTTTTCCATTATTTTAAATTTTTTCCTTTTTTTTCTGTTTTTTAAATCATTTGAATTAAGGTATCTTTTTTTCAATTGCCTTTTAATGAATTACATGTGTCACGTTGCCAAGTTGCTTATTCCCCTGAAGTGTTTTTTTTTTAGGTGGTTGCTTAGGAGCTTTTCCTATGCTCCCGTAAGCATTCCCATGTTTTCTCTGCTCGCCTAATTATGACCATGTTTTCTCTGCCCACTTGAGTATTCCAATATTTCCTTATGCGCGCTTACGTTTTTGTTCCCTTTTTACGCTTTCTTTCGCCTTCCTATGCCCCCTCCCCTTGGGTCAGGAAAAGAAAAAAAGCGAGAAGCACATGTGTGTATAAGTATGTGCAAATGCACATGTGTATGATGATATACCTGCAAGATGTGTGTACTCCCTTTTTACATTTTTTACGAATAAATTTACCCATTGCGGATGCAAAAAATTGCACTGTTCAAAATTTTGACGCTTTTTCGAATACCCTCGCGGGAGAGAAGAACAAAGCGATGGGAAGCGCGGCAAAAGGAAGTGACTCTTCAGATTATTTTTTTCCCCAAAAGGAGAAGGCATACCTATGCGCTACTAAATTGGTCAAATTGTTTCTTCTGGCTCTTTCTCGTTCTTTCGCGCTTTCCTGCAGCTGAGGCCGCGATAAAAACGTGTAAAGTCCATTTTCCCTAACACATCAGTACGCACGTAGGTTTGTGCCTTCTTGGGCCTGAGGTGTACTGCCAATTGGGATTTCTCTCCAACAAAATTGAGATCAAAGGGGTGGACCTTTTGTGCAGTATCAGCAGCGCATCTTAAGACACGCGCATTTCTTTAGCTTCGCACGGCATTATTTTTGCCATACTCCCAGAAAATTAGCAAAAAAAAGTTTTCAAAAATTGGCAAAAAAAGCAAAAAAAAAAATTTCAAAAATGCCCATAAAAAAGAGGAGGAGAAAGGAAAAAGGTTCATCTTAAAACGATCGGTAAATAATCCCTGATGAGGCAATCCGCGCACTTCATTATGACCCATTATTCGACACATTTATTTTGCACAAAATTTGCAAATCGCTTTTCAGGGCAGCACCGAGCGGAGAAAAACGCTTGATCGAATGAGCGTATGCAAAATAAAAAAAAAAAAAAAAATATAACTTTTTTTTGACGGGAAAGAGGAAAAAAAATAATCACACAAAATTGTAAATGTACACCACTAAACGCACAAAAGCGAGCGAGTGCAAAGCAATGCCCGAGTGCCAATAAAGCCATAATGAACTGATATCCAGCAGTGTAAAGTGGCAGGGATAGGCGACCAAGCTACTAGGCGAGCCGGAATTACAATAAATTACTGTTGAAGGGAAAAGCTTAAAATTTGAGGGACGTAATAATTGTGCGGTGCGTCTGCTAACGAGTATACACCTTTCAAGAGCAGGCATAAAAGGAAAGCATATCTTTTGCACCCACCCCCATTTGAGTTGCCCCTTTAAATAAAAACCCTTCCACCCTTTGGACACAGCAATGGAGGTAATACAAGAGATGCTTGATAAGCGTGGAAAGAGGCACAAACGACTTCACGTGTGAGTGCACCATTTTTTTTTCTTGCGTCTTCACACTGGGCGCATATTTATGGCACTGAACAAGGGGTAACTTCCCATGTATGTAACTTCGCATATAACTTCACCCGCGAGTGGCTTCCTGCTGTCGTGTCTTTCTTCCTCCCTCGCCCACAGGAGAACAAACAAAAAGTGCAGGAAGACTTAGAGTCGAACAAGTACGACATTGACGAGGAAGATCTGTTGGACGATGAAGGCAGATTAAACGAGGAAGAGAGGCAAGCGGAGCTGGAAGGAGAGAGTCTGTTTGAAGAGGATGAAGGGTTCATATTCGGAGTGGACGATGAAAAGAAGGAAATGCAAAAATTGCGAAATTTGGGGCTAGACAATGACGAGTACGATGATGATTTTATCGACGATGAACTGGATTATGAAGACAACTTGAAAGCGAGAAGAGCAGCAGAAAGACACATACAAATGCAAAGGAAGCAGGAAGGGAAATATGAAAAGAATAAATTTTGGAAGACACTAGAAGATCAGCTAGAGGGAGATGATGAAGAGGAAGACATCTTCGACAAAGTTGCAGAGAAGGTTGCAAAGAGGAGAGAAAATATGCATCTCTCAGCAGAGGAGACAGACATCCCTGATCTGTCAAATCTGGAAAGCGCCAAAATATGTCTGTCTGTAAATCCAAAAGATGTCATATTTGATGAAAGATACCAGCAAGCAGCAGACACATGTTTTCGCTACTTCCTGCATAAGTTTTCTTTAAAAGATTCCATGGGCATAAGTTTAGACCAGTCCATCCAGTCAGAAGGAAATGAAGAGGAAAGTATGAACAACTCTCATCAGTATTATATTGACAAAATAGAAAAAATGATTTTAAATGATAAGCACACCCTAATCGTGTCAGCGAAACATCTGATTCAGTTCCATTGTGAAAATTTGGTGCAGTGGATCGAATTTAAGCCAGAACAGATATTAGAAGTGCTACATGAATGCCTCATGGTGGAGGCTTATAGGATTTCTCCAAAGCTATACAAAGGAAGATTATGTAAAGTCGTTTTGAAAGACTGGCCCTATTCTACTCAGTTGAGAAATTTAAGGTGTACCGAGTTGAACACATTAATTAAAGTCACAGGCGTGTGTATAAAGAGGGGTTACGTATTGCCCAAACTGAGAGTCATGTACCTGAAGTGTAATTCTTGTGACACTACGTTATCCGAAGTGCCCATTTATTTTGCTGATGGGAAGAAACCAGTACTTCCTAGGCGCTGCCCACACTGTCAATCGGCCACCTTCTCAGTGGACCGAGTGAAGACGGCTTACACAGATTTTCAGAAAATTACGCTGCAAGAATCACCCAGTTCTGTTCCAGCTGGTAGAGCCCCCAGACAAAGGGAAGTGGTAGTCACAGGGGACTTAGTAGATAAGGTGAAACCAGGAGAAGAAGTAGAAGTCCTAGGAATATACAAAACCAAGTACGACATAGGACTGAACATAAAGTACGGCTTCCCCATTTTACAAACCGAAATTGAAGCAAACAATATAGAGAGAAAAGAGGACATTCAACTTAGCGAATTGACAGAAGATGACATTAAAGACATTTTGAAATTGTCCAAGGATCCAAACATAAGGGAAAGAATCATCACCTCTATCGCACCAGCTATTTGGGGACACAAAGATATCAAAACGTCTATTGCGTATGCATTATTTGGAGGGGTGCAAAAGGGGGGAGACAAAAGTAATGCAAAAAGTAGTGACAACAGCAACTTTGGAATTCAAAATAAAGACATTTTAAACAACTTCAAAGGAGGACATACCATCAGAGGAGACATCAATGTGCTCCTTTTGGGAGATCCAGGATTAGGAAAGTCACAAGTGTTACAATATGTTCATAAGACCAATCTAAGAACTGTGTACACGACGGGTAAGGGAGCTTCCGCCGTTGGGTTAACGGCTGGAGTGAGAAAGGACTACACAACGAACGAGTGGACATTAGAAGGAGGAGCGTTAGTCCTTGCGGATGAAGGAATCTGCATCATTGACGAGTTTGACAAAATGACAGATAAGGATAGAGTCAGTATTCACGAAGCCATGGAACAGCAATCCATCTCCATTTCGAAGGCTGGCATTGTGACGACCTTACGAGCAAGATGTGCCGTCATCGCAGCTGCGAATCCGATATATGGCAGATACGACCCAACGTTGACATTTAAAGAAAATGTAGATCTTTCAGATCCCATTTTAAGCCGATTCGACTTAATTACCGTCTTGAGAGATATTCCCAATGTGGACGAAGATTTTTACCTGGCCGAATATGTTGTCACGAACCATCAGTTGAGTCACCCCAAATTGGAGAACACACAAAATTATCAGAAAAGGATTGAAAATTTAAAAAATGTAATTGTCTCATCTTCTGCGTATGAACCCATTCCACAAGACCTACTGCAGAAGTATATCATCTATGCGAGGACCAACTGTAAGCCAGGCTTGTCAGATGTACCCTATGCAGAAATTAGTGCAAAGCTTTCCAATTTTTACAGCCGAGTTCGACAGAAGGCTAGCGCATCAGGGGGATATCCATTAACCTTAAGACATATCGAAAGTATCATTCGTATTGCTGAAGCAAATGCAAAGATGAGATTGTCTCAACAAATTGTCTCCAAAGATGTAGATTACGCAATTGCAACTTTACTCGAATCTTATGTTTCCTGTCAAAGGTTTGCTGTTGCCAAACAGTTAAGTAAGGAATTCGCTAGGTACAGGGCTCTTTTCAGAGGTGGCCATGAAGTCCTTTGCGAATTGGTTAGAAGAAC